GGCCTGCTTCTCCCTCTCCCACTCGCCCTGCTTGTGTTCCCTCTCTCGCTGTATCTCTCTCTGTCAAATAAATAAATAAAATCTTTAAAAATAAATAAATAAAATAAAATAAAGTACTCTTTATGGAAAGGTCAGCGAGCAGATTTATCATCAGTTTCCCGCTTGTGCTTTTCCCCGAAGCTCCTGTCTGACCTTTGGCGTCTGCATCCTGGTGCCCTGGTTGTGCCCAGGACAGTTGCCCTTGAGCCCGGCCGGGTGTGCCTGAGGACGCGCGAGGCGCCCAGGCTCCTGCTGCTTATACATGGGCTCCCAGGCCAGTCCTTAGTGTGGTTTAATGTCCACGGAAGTGACCACGAGCAATGATTGATGTTTCAGTGGCAAATTCAATGCAATTGTGCATTTTTTATGTTGTTTTAGGAGGAATTTGAAAATTGTGTGACTCAGTATATGAAGGCAATAAACTTTGCAAAAGGAGAACCCAGGTAGGCATATAGAATTGGCCATTTCTAACTGGGATTGTGTAAAAGGTACAGGACCAGGATTTACCAAGTGGTTCTACCTGTTTGGACTGTGGGGGGTTTTGTCCTTGTTGTGTCCTTGCTGTATGCTTGTTTCTAGCGTGTAGAGCTGGGTCCCATACACACACGATTCCCTTGGCCTCCTTTTGTCTGTCCTGCGGTTGCTGTGATATGCAGACGGCTTTTGTCTGTGTTCTCTGTGGACACTTCTCCTTTGGCCAGTCTCCGTGGCCCTCTTAGTTTCTGGGCCTCTCTGAGGGCTCAGCATCAGAGTCCCGCCCTCCCCTGCCCCCCCTTGCCTCTGTTCCCTCTGGCAGATTGCCCAGGCCAAGGCCTCCTGTCTGTAGCGATTCAGCTAAAACTCTAGCACAGTTTTCTACTTAATTAATGTTTCTTTCATCAAAAAGAAAGATTATTGAAACTGTTAAGTTTGCACACAAAGTGGTATTAATACAACCTATTTAAGTAGGATACACCATTTAAAGGAGATTCAGGTGTAAATCCTGATTCACTCCTTTGGGCTCCTGATCAGTGCTGTTGCGAGCCTCTTCCCCATGCACCCTGGGTCTTACAAGGCAGAGCTGGCCTCTCAGAGAGGCCTGGAGCAAGAAAGGCAAATTGGTTCCTGTGGTGCCCTTACTCCAGTTCCTCCGGTGGCTCCTTCCAGCCCTCAGGAAAAAGCCCACCTTCTGAGGGGTGTCCCTGCTCCTCTCCTCACCCCTCCTCCTGCCCCACTTTGCCCTTCATGCACAGGCATGGGGACTTTGTTCCCCAAAGATTCTGCTCTCCCTCTTTTTTACCTGGCAGACCCTTTCCCTGCACCGCTCTCAGGGCTGATTGCGCTTCACATTTCAGGTCTCAGCAGGATGTTACTTCCTCCAGGAAGCCTTCCTTGATTCCCCCTGCACTTGCCTGTTCTTGTCTATCTCTTGGGAACCAAAGGAGACCTCGCTTACTGGTGTATTTTCACAGGGAGCTGATCACTTTTGGAATGACTGAATGGGTGAAGGGATCTCTAGTCTGGACTCAGGAGTCATGTGGCCGGGTCATCATGGCTGGGGTTGAACTGCAGCCTCCAGCCCCTTCTGCGTAGGCAGTGTGGGTGCCCGCAGCTCAGAGCGGCTCAGATGGTGCTGCTGCCATCTACTGGGGACAGAGGACTCGAGGCTCCTGTCTGAGGCCGCTCCGACAGGCTCTGGACGGGCTTGGGACCTAGTCTCAGACTTCCTCTGCTCACGTTGGCAGGTATTACTTCCTGGTGTATAACGCATCAGTCCTCTACTGGCAAATGGTGAGGCCATTTCTCAAGCCGGGATATCATCACCATCTGATCTCCAGCCTCTCCCAAATTGTCAACGTGTTAAATCAGACTGAAGAAGAGGACAAGGAGTGGCGGGCAGAGCTGATGCTGTGAGTTGGATGCCCTGCCACAAGTCCCTAAGCAACCACGCTTGGCAGCCTCTGACCTCCTTCCCCTCCCGCTTGCTCCCAGGGGGATGATTATCTTACATGCTTTCTACTCTGTAGTTAGGATTACGGTTTTTGTGTCTCGTCTGATGAGGTCTATAGATAAAATCGCAGTGTCCTGATCATATGGGTGTTACAGCAAGATGAGTGTTTAGACTCAAAACACAGGAAGTGTGACCTTGTGTCATAATCCTGGCTCGTGGCTTTAACTTAGTTCAGTGAATTGTTACGCGGTAGACAGTTTAGCAACATAAAACTCAGCCAGAATGGCCCTGTTTCGGGAAGTGTGCTCCTTGTGCATCAGCCTAGGGACAGCCCTGAGAAGCCACAGTGAGAGATGTCAGCATATGATCCTTGTGCTGAGTGGACCGGAAGGCAATCAGCCAGACTTGTGCTATCTCTGGGAAGTACCATGTGCAGGCTAACGACTGGGTGCATGTCTGCAAGAAGGATCCAGAGGATCTGCCCTGCGGTTGGAATCCAGAATCTAAAGGCTTTCTTTACCTGCTTTATGGCTATTTGGGGAGCTTTTAACAGAAAATAAGTATAAATACAGTCTTTCTTAAAAATGCTATTATAAGAGTTGGAGGTAGTTATGGTGCAAACATTTCCTTTCCCTCCTGCCAGGAGTAGCATAGCTCTCTCAGCCCCTGCCTGCAGTCCCTGCTGAGCCACACGCTGCAGGTGTGGGGTAAGGAGCTGCCTGATCCCTGCATGTTTCTGAAGTTTGTGAAACGTAATAAAATGCAACCTGGTTACTAGACATTTGCAGCAGAAAACGATTTCATCAGGTTTTAATATCCAGTATTTTTATATTATCCAGGGAGCTTCTGGACTGTTATCTACAAGCTGGAAAAAAGGAAGAGGCTGCAAAATTTTGTGTCACTGCAGCGCCATTTATAAAAGCTAGCGTGCCACAGAAATATCGACACATATTTTCTGTTATGGTAAGCTGGCATTTTGAAAAATGTAGGCAGAAGTAATTTTCTTAAATGTCATTTTTGGAGAACCGTGTATAAAAACAACCAAGTCTATCCACTGAGAGAGGCGAAAGCATACATGCATCGTGCACACATTGAGAAAACAAAAAATCTTTTGCCTTCATCGTGATCTCTGAATATTACACTTGTAACAGCACTGAATGACAAAAAGGCTAGCAGAAAATTTGTTAATCTAGAGTAATCATAAACCCTACAATATGTATGAGGAACGTCATCATCTACTAACTTTCACGTATAGGAAATCAACTTGGGTTCTATATGAAAACTAAATATAAAATACCATTAATAAAGAGATACTTGTTCATTACAAATATTAATTTTAAAGGAAGAATAATTGTAAAATAGTAATTAGTATCTGGATCTCTACCTAATTATTTGTTTAAATCAATTAATAATTCTGTCCCATTTTATAACAGGTGAGACATGAATTCGTGGATGAGCTTCAGTTAGAGGAAGAAAAGAAAACCTCCGCTAGCCTGGCTGTCACTTACCACATTAATATGCTAAAAGCGTAAGTGGTTTAGGAGTTTTAGGTGCTGACTCGGGGTCTCTGTGCCATCTAGAGGGGATATGGCTGTGCCAGGGGGTGGGTGAGGGTGGAACAGTAGGGTGAGGCCTCGGCCCAGAGGATGGGACTCTGCCTTGTCTCCCTTTACTTAGAAGTAGCCAGAGAGAGGCTTCCCATGGGTGAGTGTAGCTTCTAAGCCAGTGAGGAAAGTGGTTTAGGAGGAGAGTCACTGGCTGGGTGAGATCTGTCTAATAGGCCCTTCCATATGAGGCTTGACACTTGACCTTGACAAATAGGAGTAGTTAATTTGGGTAAAACCCTGACAGTAGTGGTTTAAAGTGAAGGAAGAATGGAACTGTATGCAGCTGTCTGCTAAAGTGGCAAGAGGGAATTAGGAGGGTGGAGAGCCACTGTGTGAGAAGAAAGGGCAGTGAGGAGATCCAGTGCGTGTGAGGAGAAGGCAGTGAGGAGATCAGTGTGTGTGAGGAGAAGGCATGAGGAGATCAGTGTGTGTGA